CCCCCTTACGCCATTTTCACCATGTAACTGGAAAATCAGACGTTAACCGATTACACTGCCAGGTTCAGGACCAGCACACAACATTTATTTAGTGATAGACGAATTCCCATTAACAGCGTCAACCAAATGTGACTAGCAGCAAGGTCGTTGTGCTACCGCAGCACTCGGGATCGATAAAGATCGATATCGATCTTACCAGCGAATGAGAGTTGGTGAGAACACATCAACAGACGCTGTCTTCAGCACTTGGGCATCTTATCTGATCGAGTGATCGTAAAATAACCCGATCCGAGCTAATTATGTGGGAATGTAGGAAAAGGAAAACAATTCGTCGCAAAGAAAACCTATAAAAAAGGAACTCAAAAAAAACTCTGTGGATAGAGGATAGCTAAGAACCGCTAAGATACTGTAGAAGACGTGAGACGGCACTAGAAAATTTCCATGAAATACCTAAAATTTCCGCAAGCTTCCGGAATTCTTCGCCACGGTTCTGATCAAATTTCTCGGCTCCATTTGCAGAACTTTGGAATTTTATAAATGTTTCAAAATGAGTGGAAAAGAGCTGATGATATTTCTGGGATGTGCCACACAACCAATTTTCTTTCGGAATGTGGACCCATTTGAGTTCGTACCTGGCCCAATTTACAACCTCATTCAGCCAGCACCTCATTGAGCCATTCAGTCTCTACCAACATTTTTATTCCCGAGGTAATCTAGGTATCATATGTCGAGGGATACGGAGTGATCCATTGATCAGGGCAGATTTGAATCTTTCAAGTGGCGCCTTTATCCACTGCGCTACCCTGTCCCATTTGAATCCTAGTTAGTCCTATTTTTCTTTCCATGCTTATGGTTTATCTTTCTCTATGCTGCCATCTCTTCAGATTGTGGATATGTTACTTTTACTTAACTGGTGTTTACTAGCTGTTTGTTGTTTACTTATGATTCAACCACTGATCGATTAGTTGATGCTCGTTACTATTTGCCAACAAGATCATTTGATATACGGTTCATTACGGTATAGGCTTTTTAATTGACCTTGTTTATTTTTAGCAATTTAATTTTAATTTCAATATTTAATTTAATTTTGCTTTTTATTTTTAATAATTTCTCCAAATATTGAATTGCATTTATTTGAAGGGACGGGTAAAAATTCCATTAGGTCACACAAACCCATTTTTCCATCATTGTATTGAAGTAATACCCATGCGAAAATAATATAAAGGCTGAAAAGTCCATGAAACAAATAGGTAAACAAATAAGTAAACAAATGATAAACCAAACAAACCAATAAATAACGCTCAAATGCATACAGAACAAGTACGCGGATCGAGTGTCTACGAGTTTACAATGTAAATACTCACGGAAATGGTACGGAATTTGAACCCGTGAGATAACACAGACATCACTCCCGCGTTGAATTCACGCCAGTATTCTACAAAATCAAGCTCACAAATCTTGAATTTCAGGTTTTCCCTTTGGGTTACGGTAACCCAAGAGATACCCAACTCATGATGTAACCCAGAAGATCAGAACTTCCTGTGTTTGGCCCAGTTTTGGTTCAAATCATCGACGACGATTACTGGCCTGACGCTGTAACGCTGCGCTTTCCCGCCACGCAGAATGTTTGGGGTCGCGCAGGGGGGACTCGACCCACCATATCAAGCGCCAGTCCTGGGTGACGCCTACACTCGTTTACCTCGAGTTCATCGCATTACCTCATCGCTACTCAGAATGTCTGACGCTCCTCCAGCTGCATCACCGGTTTCGGCCAAGAAGACCAAGGTAAGCCTTTAGTTGCGGTCTTGTTTATTTACCCTTCCTATTTGTTTATTTATCATGGAAGTATTTGAATTCTCTTCAGGCTAGCAAGCCAAAGGGCGAGAAGAAGCCCAAGGCTGTTGCATCCCACCCTGTGTACTCGGCCATGATCAAGGCCGCTATCAAGGAACTAAAGGACCGTAAAGGCGCTTCAAAACAGGCTATCCTCAAGTTCATTCACCAAAAGTACAAGCTCGGAAACAATGAGAAGCAGGTTGGTCCCACCCAGAAAGCTGCTTGGTTTAAGCCTTCTCAAGATTTGTTTGTATTTCTAGATCAATGCTCATCTTCGTATGGCGCTGAAGAGAGGTGTTGCCGGTGGTGCCCTGACCCAAGCGAGCGGCAGTGGAGCTGCTGGACGATTCCGCTTGGCTGAGAAGGCCGCTGCTCCGTCCACACCCAAGCCAAAGGTCGCCAAGAAGCCGAAAGCTGCCGTATCGCCCAAGAAGAAAGCAGCTGCCAAGCCCAAGAAGGCTGCTGGTGACAAGCCAAAGAAGGTAAACTCCTGATCTAATCTACTTTGGAATCCTCTATTCCCATAGGATCATGATATAATCAGTAAATCTTCAGGCCAAGATCGCTAAGAAGCCGAAATCACCCAAGAAGGCCGCCGCCAAGCCCAAGAGCGCCAAATCTCCGAAGAAGCCAGCAGCAAAGAAAGCCGCCAAGAAACCCGCGGCCAAGAAAGCCGCTGCCCCTAAGGCCTAAGTTACAGTACTCTACCTCATTGATCTCGTGTATTTAATATCGACCCGTTGAGTGTTTGATACTTTAATTTCTCGCCTCGTTGAATACGGTTGAACCGCTGCGGTCCCAAGGACCACCTAATAAATGATTCATAATAAAATCGCATCACACAGAAGTTTACAAAATTCCCGGATTACGGTATAATCGAAAAGCCGATTTATTGAATGAGCGGTCTGCTCGGAGGACCCTTATTGGCCAATGGGAAAAATCGATATCCGTAGCGAACACAGCTGGGTCAGCTGGGCTGACCTTTGTGTAACAACATGATCAGTCATAATCATCCATCACTTCTGGCAGTTGTTCTATTCAAAATATCCTAGAGATAAATGCTATACAAAACGAGATATGCACCTAACCCAAAGGGGTGAAAATTTGGTTAAAAATGGTGAAAATAGTAAAATCTTTGGTAAAGTCGATGCGGTCGGCAATAGTGTTTGCGTCATTTTAGAGGATGCGAATATACGTAAACAATAACGGTAGGGATGTTTAACCTTCTCAAAATTTAACAAATAATCAAATCGATTCCGAGGAG